TTGCTCCTAAACTCGTCCTTTCTCCGTCCACCACCTGAGCTGTTCCTGGTGGGTGGCACTGCAGGGGTTAAGGGAACATTAGTGCGTCAGGGAAGGACGAATGGCCAGTGGCTGCCGTGTGCCGCACCCTGTGCCCCGTCACTGAGGACTTGGGTCCCGGTGGGGCAGATGGCAAGTGCTCTGAGGACGACACGGCAGCATCCAGCCACTACTTCCTCACTACCAGTCAAGGTGAGGGGATACCCCGAGGTGATCCTGCCCCAGGGGCTGGCTGCCCTGTCCCCAAGGGGCTACTTTACCCCGGGGACTGTCTTTGGTCCTGACCATGAGGTTGTCTACCCCAGGGTTTATTCTAGCCCCAGGGGATCACCCCTGTCCTTAAGTGGCTATTTCTCTGAATCTCTATAGGAAATGGCCCTTGCTGGATTAGGGTCTACACTCCCCTCTCCTCTATGGGCCTCACTCTTCCATTCAGTTGGGGTTTTCCCTCCAGAAAGCAGCTGTGAGGATGTCAGGCCAGGCCCCTGGAGGTATGAGGCCCTGCTCAGGCACCTAGAGCTTCCCGAGACTAGTGTCTTACAGGGACCCTCAAGGGACGTGTCAGGCCCATGTGTCACAGACCACATTTTAGAGTGGTTTCTGGGTGGTGGCAAGCAGGGAGGAAGCCAGCGTGGTCTGAGTGGAGTGCCTCATGCCCAGGCTGCTTGGCCACAGCTGTGGCCTCTCACAGCCCCTCAGGTGCCCAGGACACAGACGGGCACCCTCACTACTCACACTGCCCGGCCCCACATGGCCTGAGCCAGAAGAGGAGACACCACTGGACCTCCCTGCCAACTGCATTCCAGGCCGCCTTGGCCAGCCTCAGAGTGTTCATCTTGGGCCAACAGGCGTTTCAGGTTCAGATGAGAGGAATTCAGGGTTTGGGTTTTCAGACAGAAAGCATGTTCTTTGTTCAGATCCCTTACGTGAAAGAGACTCCAGATGACTCTGCTCGTGGGGCCACACACATGAAAGCTGAGAAAGCTGGACCTCCCTTTGTCATGGAGATGAACCTTCACCTGTCACTTTCTGGTCAGCCTGAGCTCCAGGCAGAGAGGACACAGTGGGTGGAGAGGGAGGTCTAGGCCAATAATGCCTGGAATCAGCCTAGGGCAACCTGAGAGGTCTTCTCCCACTCACCTTCCAACAGGTGCCTGGAAAACTAATCGAGGAACAATGATGTCAATTTGAGGACCAAGGTGCGCCTAATTCAGGCTATGGCCTTTTCTATCACTTGGTATGCATCTGAGAGCTAGACAGCGAATAAGGATGACAGAAGAATCAAAGCCTTTGAACTGTGGTGCTGGGGAAGAGGACCGAACATAACCATGGACCGACAGAAGAACCAACAGAAATGTCTTGGAGAAGGTCCAGCCGAAGTGTTTTTGGAGGCAAAGATGATGAAGCTTCGTCTTACGTACTTCGGGCATGTTGCTAGGAGAGGCTACTTCTTGGAAAGGGACATCATGCTTGGAAAGATGGAGGGTTGGTAAAAGTCAGGAAGACCCTCAACCACATGGACTGACAGTGAGCACAGCAAGGGTCTCACGTGTGTCCGAGATGATGAGGATGGCGCAGGACAGCCAGGGCTCAGAACTGTGTTCACAGAGTCTCTGTTCAGGGTGCCCAACAACCCTGATAGTCTGTGGGGACGCCCAGGCCTGCACGTGTCTGCTGGAATATGTCAACTGTTGTTTCCTCAGTTCTTGGGAGCTTAGTGTTTGCCAATGACTTTGGCGAACCTTGGAATTCTTGTTCAGCACCTTTGATTCTTGATCATACGCTACTTCCTTAAATAGTTCTGGGTCAACCAATTGTTTTTAGTACAGAGACTATAGAGTATTCCTTCCATCTTCTCTATGTTTCATTCAAGTACATTATGCTTTATACATTTGTATGCATTCATAGGCAGGCTTCAGAGGTGCTGTACATAGGGCTGCTATGGGTTGCAGGGGACTTGACGGCATGTAGCTACATTTATCAGTGTCTTTAATCGCTCCATCTGATCAAGGCCCTGCCACCCCTTGCCTGTTCCTTTGCCATCCCTGTCCACAGTCTCTGAACTCTTCCTTCGATTCTGCCCCTTCTCCCTTCACTGCCCCCTTTTGAACAGTTTATACATATCCTGTTGCTGTTTTCCATCTTCTTTGGCGCTTCCTGCATCATTTAAAATGTTGCCCATAGGCTGCTTTAGTTTCAAACCCAACTTGAGTTTGTGTGCAGTTACTTCACTTTGAGCAATGCTGAGCATATGCTTCCCTTTACATCTTCTAACTCTAGCTCTTTGCACATTTAATGTGAATGTTTTGCTTTGTTTTCTTGAGCTGCCCTTTGCAATCTTCTGTCCATCTCCTCCTTCAGCATTTGGTCCATTTAATTTGGCTTCTCTCTGTTCTAGTACAAGTTTCAGAGTCTCTTCAGACATTCCTATTGGTCTTTTCTTTCATTCTTATCTTTTGGAAGATTACCTGGCTAACTGACTGGAAGGGATCCAAATTTGTTCCTATTCCCTAAAAAGGAGATCCAAGAGAATGTAGATTTATCAAACAATATCATTCATATAACATGCAAGTAACAATCTTGCTGAAGATTATTTTTAAATGGCTAGAACAGTACATTGATAGGGAACAACCAGAAATTCAAGCTGGATTCAGAAGAGGCAGTGGCACAGAGATATCACTGCTGATGTTGGGTGGATTTTAGGTGACTGTGGAGAACACTAGAAAGATGTTTACTTGTAATGTATTATCTATGCTAAGGCATTTGACTGTGAATCATAACAAATTATGGATAACATTGAAGAGAAAGTTAATCCCAGAACACCTAACTGTGCTTGTCCTAAGCCTATATATATAGACCAAAAAGCTGTTGCCCAAACAGAACAAGGGAACACTGCATAGTTTAAAATCAGGAAAGGTATGTGTCAGGCCTATATCCTTTTTCCATATCTATTCAATCCATATACTGAGCAAATCATTTGAGAAGCTGGACTATATATGAAGAACAATGTGACATCAGAATTGAAGGAAGACTCACCAACAACCTATGTTATGCAGATAACACAAACTTGCTTTCAGAGAGAGAAAAGGACTTGAAGCACTTGCTGCAGAAGATCAAAGATACAGCCTTCAATCTAGACTGTATCTCATCATCAAGTTAAACAAAAAGCCACACCAGCAGGCAATATCATGATACTGCTGTTGGACGTCTTTGAGTCGGAACTGACTCATAACTGACCCTCCAGCGGGTTTTCAGAGGCAGTAAATCGTGTGGGAGGAGATTGCCCATCCTTCTTCCATGGAGAAGCTGATAGATTCGAATCCTATGCCTTGGGAATTGCAACGCAACTTCTTACCACTAGGTGACCAGAGATCCCTAACATCATGATGTTGTTATGTGCTGTCGAGTCGCTTGCGACTCATAGCGACCCTATGTACAACAGCCCTAAACTCTGCTCTGACCTGTGCCAATCGCACTGTCTCCGATAAACCCATCCTGATTACCCCAGTCACTGAATCAATCCTCCTGCACTGTCCCTCCACCCTCCCAAGCATGATGTCCCTCTCCAAGGACCTGTCCCTCCTTGCAACATGTCCAAAGTATGTCAGACGAAGCCTCAGAATCCTTGCCTCCAAGAAGCCGCCTGGTTTAACCCTCTCCAGGATGAATCTGTTTGTTTTCCTAGCAGTCCATCAGGATGGATGGTGAAAGATTGAGATTGTTCACAGCTTCAGTTTGCTTGGCTCCACAGTCAACACTCTCGGCACCAGCAGCCAGGATATTAGAAGACGTATTGCCATGGGAAAGTCTGCTGTTAGGGACCTCTCCAAAGTTCTGAAGAGCAGTGGTGTCTCTCTGGAAACTAAGGTGCATCTGATACAAGCCATGGTCTTTGCAATCACTTGTTATGCATCAGACAGTTGGACAGTGACTAAGGAGGATAGAAGGAGAATTGATGCCTTTGAGCTGTGGTGCTGGAGAAGAGTACTGAGAATACCATGGACTGCTAGGAACATCATGATAGGTGGAAAAAAGAATGAAGTTGTCCAAGATCCCATTTTACTTGAACCCTCAATCAACATTCATGATAGCAGCAGTGAAGAAATAAAGAGAGATGTAATATTTGGGAAATTTCTGTCAAAAACATCTTTGTACTACTAAGAAGCAAGGATATCAGTTTAAAGACAAAGGTGTTTCTGAGCCAGCCATGGTATTTTCAATGACGCTCTGTTTATCTTACAGTTGGACAATAAAAAAGGATGACGGAAGAAGAGTCGTGGTATTGGAGAAGTTGTTGTTATTGTTGCTACCCATCACTGAGTCAGAACTGACAGACAGCTGACCCTCCAGTGGGTTTTCAGAGGCAGTTAATCACATAGGAGGAGATTATCTATCCTTCTCTCGCTGAGCAAGCAGCTCATGGACTCAAACCGCGTGCCTTCAGGATTGCAGTGCATTTACTTGCCACTAGGCCACAAGAGCCCCCATGGACCATCAAAGGAACAGACAAATGTGTCTTGGAGGAAGTACAAGTAGGGTGCTCCATAGAGGCCAGGACTGGGGAACGCCACGTCACAAACTAGGAGCATGTTGTCAGGAGGGAGCAGTCCTTGGAAAAAGGACATCATGTTGGGAATGGCAGGGGGTCAGAGAAAGAGAGGAAGACCCACAACAAGATGGACTGACACAGTGAGCGTGACAAGGGGCATGGCCCGTGGGAGATGGCCAGAATGGAGAGCACAGGCTCAGGTGTGTGACTGTAGGGTCGCTATGAGTCCTGTCGGCCACACTAGCAGCATCGCACCTGCCCTGTCCTCTAGCTATGCTTCTCTCAAGCCCACTTCCATTGCTTGGAGCGCATGGAGCCCCTGCCTCCCGAGAGCCAGTGGTGAGGAGGGCGGGCCTGCGGGTGGCAGGCAGTGCCCTCTGCTGTCCTTTGCAGGTGCCAGCCCCATCCCACCATGGGGATGTCTTGGAAGGAGGGGGTCCTCACCGGCTTACTGGCTGTTGCTGCCGCCTCAGGCCTTACTACACTGGTGCTTGTCTTGGTGGAGTCCACCAGCATCCTTCTGCCTGCAGACACTAAGGTGCTGGACAGTCTGGAGCAGGGTGGGGGGAGGGGTGCTGGCAGAGTGAAAGCCACCAGCAGATAGCAGGGTGCACTGGCTGGTTGGGGTGGGGGCAGGGAGACCGTGACCGTGACTTCTATCACCTCCAGTTTGGAATCGTATTTGATGCCGGCTCCTCCCACACGTCCCTCTTTGTGTACAAGTGGCCTGCCGATAAGGAGAACAACACAGGTGTGGTCAGCCAGGCGCTGGTCTGCCAGGTGGAAGGTCAGTGGTCAAGGGTGCCTGTGGTTGGTGCTGAGGGACTTCCTGGGGAGATATGGGGCCAGGTGTGGAGCTGAGTCCTCTGTTCCTGACAAGCGCAGCAAGCACAGGGCTCAGAGGGGATGAGACCACTTCAGGCCCACGTTCACAAGCTGGGGTGGGGTGGGGGGCACAGCCTATGTGCTACGCCTTCTGGCCAGCCTGCCACTGTGCCCATCAGCCAGCCTCTCGCTCCACACCCGAGGCTCCTCATTGTAACCCACCGGTGCTTCCCTCCACGGCCCTGAGTGAGCACGGAGGGGGGCTGCAGAGACTGGGGCAACAAAGGAGCTAGGGATGTCACTACAGATAGAGAGGCAGGCCCAGGGACCTGTGGTTCAGCCAAACCAGGCAGTAAAATGAGCATGGCAATCCCGGCTCTCAGCGCGGCCCGATTTCTCAGTGCATGTGGGGTTTTCACACGATAGCACGCTCTGTTAGGTGGCACAGCAGGATTAAAAGTGAGAAGAACTGTGAGTGACCAAGATGGAACGTGGAGACACAAGATGAGCATTGTTGTGTGTACCGCAGAGCAGTTGACCCAGAGCTGACTCTCTGGTGGATCTTCAGAGGTAGTAAACCCCAGCGAGGAGATGGTCCATCCTTCTCCATGGAGCAGTTGGTGGCCTTGAACTGTGTGCCTTCAGGATTGCAGTGCAGCTTCTAGCCACTAGGCCAGTGGAGCAGGTCTGGAGGGGAAATGTGGTGCTGATAGACTCACAGGAAGCGTAAGTGCCACCGACCTCTGTCTGCGGGAAGAGCAGCCTGTGTGTATCCTTAGTGCACAGTCTCAAGGCAGGTGGGGAGGTGAGCCAGGCCTGCAAAGCATCCTGGCACCCACCCACCTTGGCCTCTTCTGGGGCCTGCTGCCCTGCAGTCTCACCTCTCTTTTCTGGGGCACATTAACCACTAGACAAGGAAGCCAGGTTTACCCGAGCTGTCCTACCTGTAGTGGAGTTTTACATGATTGGCCCAACTTTCCGTGTGACACTGACCGTGTACTACACATTAGGAGGTACAAGCGTGCTTTCGCTTACCTGTCTGCTCTGAAGGGCACCTGTACTAAGACACACACACACACACACACACACACACACACACACACACACACACACACACACACACCGCCCCAGGCCAATCCAGGATGTTCTCATCTGAGTGAGACCTTCAGCTCGCCACACCTGCTGGCCCTTTCCCATTGGGTCTGCACACACAGCTTGGCACTATTCCCATCTCAGGCCCTGGGATCTCCTCCTACGCATCTAACCCTGCTGAAGCGGGCGAGAGCCTGCGAGGCTGCCTCAAGGAAGCTCTGGCTCTGATCCCTGCAGCCCAGCACCAAGAGACACCCATGTTCCTGGGGGCCACGGCCGGCATGAGGCTGCTGCGGTGAGGCGGCAGGTTACGGGTGTCCTAGAACCTGCAGGGCCTGAGGGCAGGGGCAAGGTCCTGAGTGGAGCGGGGCAGACGGGGTCTCCTGCTGCAGCCAGCCTGACCTCCCCTCCACCCAGCTGGAAGAACAACTCTCAGGCAGAGAGCATCTTCACGGAGGTCGCCAGGGTCCTGACCCAATCTCCCGTGGATTTTCGGGGTGCTGGGCTCCTGACAGGCATGGAGGAAGGTGTCTCCAGTTGGATCACCGTCAACTACGTGCTGCGGAATCTGCTTACGGTGTGTCCTGCAGTCAGGGAGGTGGTGGGCAGCCTGGTGGTGCACTGGGGCAGGATGGGGTGGGACGAGGAGCAGAGGTCTATGGACTGGGGTCCCAGGGCCGGGTAGGGGTCCTAAATCAGGATTAGCACCCAGCGCAGGGTTAGGGGCTAGGGATGGGGCAGTAATGGGGGACAGGCCTGGTTTCCCAAGGGCCTGCAGGTTCTGAGGCCAGGCTGAGTGCTGGTCGGACCTGGGGTACACTGGCTGAGTGAGCCCTGTCTGTGGTCAGTACACCTTCTCTGGAGAATGGGTCCGCCCCCCCGAAGCTACGCTGGTGGGCGCCCTGGACATGGGGGGGGCGTCCACGCAGATCGCCTTCGTGCCGGAGGGCCCCATCCTGAACGCCAGCGCGCAGGCCCCCCTCCTCCTCTACGGTGCCAACTACAGCGTCTACACGCACAGCTACTTGTGCTTCGGGCGCGACCAGATGCTGAGCCGGCTGCTGGCCGGGCTGGTGCAGGTGAGGCCCAGGCTGGCCGGGCGGGGTCCAGGGCCGGCGGGGCGCTCACAGCCTCTCCCCGCAGGCAAGCCCCTCGGGCCCAGTCCGCCACCCGTGCTACCACAGCGGCTACCGCGCCACGCTGCCCCTGGCGCCCGTCTTCCAGTCGCCTTGCGTCCCTGCCTCTGCACCACCAGGCGCCAGCGCGAACCTCACGGTCGAGGGTGCGGGGAACCCGGGGGCCTGTGTCTCCGCCCTCAGGGACCTGTTCAACTTCGCGAGCTGTGGGGGCCGAGAAGACTGCGCCTTTGACGGGGTTTACCAGCCCCCTGTGCAGGGCAGGTTCTACGTGAGCGCACCCTGCCCTCCGCCTCTCCCGTGGGTGGGACCTGGGGCGCTGCCTGGGGTGCTCGCAGCAGGGCGCCCACGCTATGCTCCCACCCTCAGGCCTTCTCCAACTTCTACCACACCTTCCGCTTTCTGAATGTCAGCGACGGGAAGCCCCTGGACGCCGTCAATGCCAGCGTCTGGGAGTTCTGCAGGCGCCCCTGGGAGCTGGTGCGTGGCCCGGCCAGAGTCCCTGGGCTTGAGCTGTGGGCTGGCCGCACCTGGGTCCAGCCCCTCCAGTGGGGCCAGCAGGATTGGGGAGTCCAGGGGATGCAACACCGTCACTGCCACTCTTTTCAGGGGGTGTCACAGTCTGCTGGACCGTGAAGGGAGCCCTGGAAAAAATCTTCTTGGACTCTCTGAGGGTTCCCAAAGGGACACGTAGGAGAAATTTCACGGACTGCCAGAGCCCTGACCTCTCCCATGTCCAGTCTCTGCCTGGTGGGCGTGGGGTGGGATACTGCTCACTGGGACCGGGCAGTGGGTCCTAGGCTGGCTGCCAGGAATGGGTGGTGCTCCACTCTTAACGCCTCTGCTGTGGACCCAGGTGCAGGCCAGCTACCCAGAACATGCCCGCTGGCTGCGTGACTACTGTGCCTCTGGCCTCTACATCCTCACACTCCTTCTGGAGGGCTATGGCTTCACAGAGGCCACCTGGTCCAACATCGAGTTCCGCAGACAGGTAACCAGGGTCCTGACGATATGGCTGCGCCAATGGGGCCTGAAGTGGCATCTTGTAACCCTGACCTCATTCTTGTCCACAGGCCAGTGGGACCGACATCGGCTGGACACTGGGCTACATGCTGAACCTGACCAACATGATCCCAGCCACGGCACCCACTCTGCAACAGGCCGAGAGCTATGGTGTCTGGGTGGCTAGCGTCATTTTTATGGCACTGACCCTGGTGGCCATTCTCGGGGCTGCATCGGTCCAGCTCTTCTGGCCCCAGGACTCAGACTCCTGATGCTGCAGGGAGATTCTGCTTACAGCCCAGCCCCCACTGTCCTTCTAGGAACTCTGGGCGCAATCTGAGGCAGCTCCCTGCAAGTCCCCCTAGCAGTCAGCCTGGGACTGGCAATGCTGGTGCACACATGTCGTGCTACAGTGGATGATGGGGCCAGCCCAGCCTGTGCACACCCAAGTCTGTGCACATGTATGTTCTTGTCCCCGGATTGTGTGCACACATGTTCCTGTCCTCTGGCACTGTGCACATGGATGTGCCCAGCCCTGGTACGGTGCACACATGTGCTCTTGTCCATGATTTGTGTGCACGCTTGCATGTTCCCAGCCACATGGAAGTTCCAGGCACCACTCCAGACATGAGGACACAGCAGTGACCAGCAGTCAGGGCAGCTGGGATCTGGCCTGGGGTCACAGACTGCTTAGATCTCCTCCAATAAACCCAGAGTCATAGTGTCGTGGAGCCATGTGCCCAGGTGTGAGTGGACAGAGACCACGGTGTCGCCCACCAGTGCTGTTGTTGAGACAGACTTTCCTGTCAGGAGGTGTGGGCAGAAGAGGACTTTGGCCAGCCCTGGGAGCAGGCTGTACCCAAAACTTCAGTGTCAGGGCTTGGATGATGGCCAGGCCTGGTATTCACCAGCAGCTGTGCAGTGCAGGAGGAAAGCAGGGGGTCTTTAGGGGGTGACCTGGGTCTACCCAGAGGAGGGTACGGGAAAGCAGCAGGATAGTGGGGCCAGAGGGAGGTTGTGGGGGCCTTGGTCTGCCCTGCCCTGACTGGCTGTGTTGAGGGAGTGGGCAGCTGTGGATGCAGGAGAGAGACCACTGGAGACCCTCAGCTGCTGCCCAGGCCCCTAAGCCCCTCTCTGTTCCTGAGGTCACTCTGGCTGTGGAGGCTGTGTCAGTGGGACATCGGGTGTGAGGAGGGGCTAAAGCCTGAGATGGTGAGTGGCTGCTGGACCGAGGCTGGCTCTGGCTCCTCTTGTGACTCTTCGCATGCTGGGCACCTCGTGGTCAGAGGCTTCTCAACCTCCAGGCCCAGCCCAGGGACCACATGGGTGAGCTCCTCAGGACTTGTCCCTACAGGGCCTGGAGTTGAACAGCTGGAGCCCAGGAGCTGTATGGTGGTCTGCATACACACCAGCCAGGTGCTGGGGCACTGTGGAGAGGGGGCTCAGAATGGCATAGTGCCCACTAGCTCCGGCTGTGCAGCCCAAATGGCTGTCCAGCCCTGTGCCCTGGTCAGCTGGAAGGCCAGCAGGGCAGCTAGGAATGGTCCCAGCCGCACAGGATTGAGGTGTATGCAGGTGAGCAGTGCTGGTCCCCCAGCTGGGCCTAGCAATGCAGGCCGGAGCAGTAGCCTGAGCTCCCAGACTCATGTGTAGCCTGGTGGGGCCCACAGGATGATGAGGTCCAGGGATCAAGAGGGCAGGAGATACGCTGAACCTAAGTGCCCATCCTAAGGCTTGGGCCTGGGTCTGACTCAGCTTACTGGGTGTCTCCATCCATCCAGGCCAGCAACCCGCCCACCTCTGCCTTGGCCTGTGGACACCAAAACCCTTCCAAACCCAGGACCTTGCCAAGTCCCTGTGCAAATAGTGTGCATGGTGTCCTCTGACCCCTCTGACTTCAAGAGGTGGAGTGAAAGTCACCACCAGCAGCATCTGCCCCAGACCCCCAGCTCCTGGAAGGAAGGATTGTACACCTGCCCACCGGTTCTGACCGGCCATCCCTCCCACTTCACTTCACACTCTCCAGCCCGTGATCATGTGCCACAATGACACCAGGGCTGGCAGTCACGGGTCTCATTGGAGAAGCAGCAGGTCGCCAATCAGGACCAGCGTCAACTGGAGGAGACAGCATAGCTCAGACGCAGCTCTTCCATCTGGCATTTGCTCTACGGCTCACCACGGCCCTACATGACCAAGCATCATGCAGTTCTTAGTGCTGCCCACAAGTGCCAGATGCAGCTCGCTCTGCAGCAAGCTTCCAGCCCATCTCATGCGGGCAGAGGGTCAGCAAGCCTCGTGCTGCCTGTCCTGCTGCTGACTTCTGCCAAGATCCTCAGCCCAGGAGGCCTGGCCCTGACTGGAGTGAGCTCTCCCCAGGGTTAGGGCCTTTTAAGCCTGTTGTTGTGTGCTGCCAACTCAGAACCCACCAGAGGCAGTAAATCGCCTGGGAGGAGACTGCTCATCTTTCTACTGTAGGGTAGCTGGCAGCTAGTGGGTTCAAACTGCCTGCCTTTGGATTGGCAGTGCACTTCCTTATTCCTAGGCCACCAGAACTCCTTTTTAAGGTGCACGGGGTGGTAACCCTGAGCAGTCCCCTTCAAAGATTCCATGTGCCTGCTCTGCACTAGCAAAGTGGGCCAGTTCCCTTAGGAGGGCTCTCAGTTTCCACGTGCTGCTGTAAGAGCGATGATACTTTACCAAACAGAAGTTTGTTTTCTGATAGTTTAGGAAGCTAGGAATACAAGTTCAAGTGTGGGCCAGGGGAGGAGCGCCCTCACCTGTGATATAAGAGGTGCTGCAGCCAGAGGGCTCTCCTTGTGACAGATGAGGACTGTAGTGGGGTCCAGGGATTTGTGTCCACCCTATTCCCCCGAGAGTTATTTGGCTCATGAGGGTCAGAGAGTCATTGCCTTATTTCCACGTCACGTCATCACACACACCTATTCCCGTAGGAGTGGGTCACAACCCTCATTTGCACAGACTCCCCTATGCCTTCATGGGAGTGACAAGATGTGGCTGGAAGGGCCCATGGTGGCGATCGCTGCACCTGGAGAAGTGTGTCCCTTGTTGCTTCCCATCTTGCCCACCCCAAGGCTGTTGTGCCTCCCGCCCTAGACTCAGAGTGTTCTTCTGGAAGCTTCTCCCACCAGCTGGAACCCTATCTCCCACCAGCAGAGCAGCCTCCTGGGTGAATCAGAGAGTAAGATGTCCAGATGCTCGGCCAGATGTGGACCTCTGCCTCCCGATGTCCCTTTGCATTGTGCAGTGACATAAGACTGGTCTCAGAGCAGCTGCCCTCTCTGTGCCTTCTCCAGCAGGAGAGGCTGCAAGGCCTGGGGTCATGGGCCCGACCATGAGCTCCAGAAAATCTCCCCTCCAGCTGCGCCCTGTGAAATGATGGCAGCCTGAGTCCCAGCTTGAAACCCCCAATATGTGGACTGGCAGTGGGTCCATCAACATGCCCTGCAGACTCCACAGGGACAGGGTGGCCAGGTCCTGCCTGCATCTGCCCTGGAGACGGAAGTGAAAGCCAGAGAGGGAAGGCAGGGCAACACAAAGGACCTCTGAGCTCATCATGCCAGCTGGAAGCTGGCCACTTGTCATGCAGGTGTCCTTGGCCACTGCCTGATCAAATACCTAGGACAAAAATGCCAAGTCCCATGGCCAAGTCACCTGGTGTCAGAGCTGAAGTCCAGGTAGATCATAAGCCTGGACTTCCTAAGCCCCTAACCCTGACCCCTGACCCTGACCATCAGAGAATATCTACTTCTGCTTGTACCCTCCCCTTGACACTCATGGCGGGATTCCTGTTGTGTGCAGCTCATTTGGCTGTGCTCCGGGTGCTGCACTGTTGCTTAATTGTCTTGATTAGGTCAGAGCCCACTTTTACTATTGTGTGGAAGACAAGGCACCACATCCCACATTCCTGTCCCTTGCCTTAACCCTGAGAGCCACTGTCGAAATGTGGTGGACAGGATTTACCCCCTTTCTCCTCTGAGCTTTTAAACTTGAGATGTCTGGTGCCATTGTGTTTTCAGCAGTGTAACAAGCACATGAAAGTTGGTCAGTGAATGAAGAAGCCCTCACAAGGACCGATGCCTCTGAATGGAGGGATTGGTAGAGAGTGACCGGTACCTCACAGGCTGCTGCTGTGAGACAGACTGTCCTGGAGGCAGCAGCCAGTGTCTCCTGAGAGACAAGAATGGTGAAGCTTCGTCTCACATCCTTTGGGCATGTTGTCAGGAGAGGTCAGTCTCTGGAAAAAGACATGCTGGGGAAGGTGAAAGGTCAGAGAAAGAGAAGAAGACCCTCGACAAGATGGACTGACACAATGACTGCAACAATGAATGGACTCACACAAGTCAGTGGTCATGAGGCCAGCGTAGTGCAGGGAGCAAGGTCCAGCTCTGAGGGTTACAGGGTCTCTGTGAGCTGTAGCCGACTCAGCAGCACCAAACAACAACAACGGCGCCAACACCGTAATTCCCCATTGTGATCTGAGTGAGTTTACAGAGCACACTGCTTCCTCCATCAGCTCTGCACAATTTGCTCTGATGTTAACCACAATTCCCACAGGTGTCGCTCTCACCATTTTCTCAGAGGCCCATTTCTATTCATCTGTAAAACTTCTCATCCTCTCCCTCTCTCCTCTCTCTCTTCCTTCTCCTCCTTCTCATTGGCTTTATTGTCCAGTGGCTATCAAAGGTCCTTTGCTTATGTCTGTGTGGGACTTGGGATCCAGGGACACATGGCAGGACACTGGTCAGCAAGCATGTCTGCCTCTGAGGACAGAAGTAAAAAGGTGGGGAGAGGTGTGTGTGCTTCCGTCTTTGTGCCACATGTGACCTCTTGACTGCTTCTGAGGGGACATTTTGGAACAGTTCAATTAAGGATTTGGATCCCTCTGCCCTGGAGACCCTGCTCCCTGCTGACCCAGCCTCTACCTGTTCCAGGTATGTCTTTACCTTCGACTTGGGAGTCCTGGCCTGTCCCTTTCTGACTCTGGGTTCTCAGGATGATTGGTGACAAGAGAAGCAGTGAGGGAGCTCTGGGACCTCCACGTGGACCTGTCAGTTCAGATGACTTTCACTCACCTCAGGTGTTCATGAGGGAGGGGCAGACCCCAGTGACTGTCCTGGAAGGAGGGTAGCAGCACTGGGCTTCACTCCTGCTGCTGGGCACTGACTAATGCAAGGACAATGTCCAAAGCTGGGGCAGTAAACAACGACTAAGACTGCAGGGGGCCCTCGATCAGGATGGGGTCCCTATGCCC